TCAATAACTAGCATGCACTTTCATTTTAAATTTCTCACTTGGAATGAGAGGTATGAATTTGACTACAGTTTCTGCTAAGGAATTCATTCTCTTCTATCCTATGACCTTCCCCACCCAAGCCAAAGGTTCCAGGCATGAGTGTCACATTGACACTCCAAGTCTCCGTAAAATAGTTTTCTGGCCAAATATAAAAGAAATGTTTATTATAGAAAATGTCAAAAAATATCAGCTGACAAAAAAAATTAAAATCACCTAATAACAATCTTGCATATTTTCTTACAAGTTTTCCAGTTAACTTTCATAGTCTCCAATGAAACTCCACTGTCAGCAATTATGTCGACAAGTATATTGACGGTAATCACCACCAACACAGTGTCAATCACTGAGCAGAGTATTACTTTGTGAGGCACTGCCATGTTCATGAGATCTCCTTTATGTTAGCAGGGCTTGTCCTTCGTTTACAGCTGCATTAGAAATGTCCTTAACCTTATCACTTAACCAAGGGACTTGTCTGCACAGTAAGTACAAAACTAATTGTAGAAAAAGCTAGAAAATTTATATTGGAAACAAATGTAGTAAAATTTTCAGAAATAATGTTCAGAAACAAATGAACATGTGTGCAGGATGAAAGCTACAAGGAACAAACAATTAACCATGAGGGCAGTTGGGGGAGTGATAAAATGTATGTTCAGATACTGATGTCAGTGCAGGGCATCTACAATGGCAGTTCAGGAGAAGTTCTGGAGTTTGTGTCAGCACAACTAAAGGGCTGCTGATGAAAATGCTGGTCAGAAAAAGCATGCCATGGGTTAAAAAATATGTGAATCTGAATGACATCAAAATATTTCCCATGTAGACAAGCCTGGTTCAATTATATTTTACCACTTACCCTTACATTGAAAACATTTTCTGTAGAGTATTAAATATGGTATATTAAAGGCATTCTGGGCAGCTGTGTAATGTTTCATTGAATTGCTATACCAAACTTCATTTAAACAATTCATTATTAGACATTAAAGTTATTCCACTTCAGCTTTCAACTCTCTCTTCATTTCACCATACTGCATACTGTAGGTGTGTTTTGTGTGTGTGCATGTATGCATGTGTGTGTTGAAGAATAATTTTATGAAACAACAGAAATATAAAATCTAAAGATGAAGAAATTTAAGTTCACTACTGATTTCCCTTCCAGGGACATAGTCTTGATCTTCCTCAAGCTACACTCCTCTCTCAGCAAAGGAAAAAAAATCTAAAGAAAAACCTATTCTCTAATCAGATTTTGAACTGCAGCATATGCATCATTCCTTTGTTGGGAGTGGGAAACAAAAATAATTAACCAAACCACTATAACCTAAACAAAGCAAATAGTAGGCTAGTCCTTACGAAGAAATCATTTACCAACCCAATGTGACATATCATAACCCCCAGAGCCCTCAAAACTACAAGGAACTGCAATGTGTCAGCTGCATTTTCACTCTGAGGGACTTCTACGATTTGACACAGGGGTAAAAAACATTCCAACTCTGTCAGGATACAAAACTGAAATAGCTAACATATTAAATATATAATTTGTTCACATTACTACAGCTAATTAGACCAGCAAGTTTTTCTACACACATATACACACAGAGAATACTTCCTGGACAAGGATTTACATTTTTCTTTACTATGACAGTGTATAATATATTAAGATGTCTGACTATCCTTTTAATGGCTGATTTCAAGGTTTAGTGATCACCTTAACCAGGGCTTTCCTGCTTTTGAATCCAAAGATGATCTAAGCCACAGTGATTCAGTGAAAAGTTCGCTGTCGAGGACTTGGAGGGAAGGCAGAAGAGAAAAGTGAAAGTGGAGAGACAGACACATGGCCAGTGTCATGTAATGAAGTACAACGTAAGGTGATCACCGGTATGTCAGAGCTAGGTGCACATAGAGTACATGCGCAGTAATAGCAGAAGAGAGGTGAGCGTTAAGAAGTGGTTGAGAATGGTTCTACAAAAGAAAAGGGTATTTGCTTGGGCAAATGCATGGAAGAAAAAAGTAGCAGACTATATCCAGAAGAGCAAAAATTGTTGCCTGAATAAATGGAACAGAGGACTCATGTAGGGGAGTTGAGGGAAATGAAGCTAGAGAGAGAAACTGACAGTGGATTATGACTGAGCTCAATGCCACACTACGGAATTGAGCACTCAACTCGTATGGAAGCAGTAATATTAAGGGGAAAAGTGAGAGAATTCAAGCAAGCATCCTCACCAACCAAAGAAAAAGAAATATTGCCACAGATTTCTATGTTGGCTGCCCCCCATCTTCTGAGGCCAGACAGTGTTGTTCTCAAAGCCTGCCTGGTTCTGTGCTACATACACACCCTCTTTCCCTATGGACACTGAACTCAGAGAAAAGCAGGAATATGCCAATAGTATCGAAAGATCACAACTGGAGAGTGGGTACATGTCCGAGACACATCAAGAATACAATGACCCACACACTTTTGCTTTCAAGTCTAGGTTTCAATCCAGCATGTGTATAATTAGCCTAATAATCAGAAAAATAAATAGAATTTTAATCCATGTTTTAGGATCCCACTGTCCAGGTCCCAACCTTAGAAAAATCCAAGTGAAAAACATTTCACTTAAAAGGAAACCAGAGAGGGCATAGTATTTTCTTTTAAATTATAAATGATAAACATAGTATACACTAAAAGTTATTTTTCACCAATGAAAAAAGAATTAGAAACAAATTTTTATGCAAAGACGCTCTGTGCTAATCATCATCCTTTTATTACATATCCCTCTCTTCTATAATACTACCAACCCTCGTGTTTTTCTGCTAAACATGGAAAATCTTCCCCCAGGAAAGAACAGGGTGATAGTGAAGAAATTCTCAATGATCCTGTAATTACAGGATCTGCCACAATCAGAATGATCTCTATAGTTCCAGGTGATTTAAGTATCAGAGAGCCACTACATTGCCCTAAAGAGAAGAGTAACTTAAAGTTTACTTGTCTCCCAGCTGTACAGAAGGTCCCAGAGGTGCTGGATCTTTCCCCTCTGCTGTCTTTCTGTTAGGGGAATCAAATCCCAGCTTTAATGAAGAAATGCTCATTCATCAATAGGGAATAATGATTATTGTTTAAAGATGCAATTTTTCAGGATGCACAAATATAGTTATGTTACTACATATGAAGAGTGCAAAAGGAGCCAAGTAGTTAGGGTAGAAAAGTCCCTAAAAAAGCTGGATTTGGAACTCTGTACTTCCAGTGAGCAGTAAGCCTACTATTCTTCACATTCTAACAATGATAATGTTCATTCACTTAGAACACCACAAGCAACTTAGACACAGACACAAAGGTTGAGGTTAACATTCAAGTGCCCAGTAATGTAAATAATTGACTCCAGGCCACATAATATTCTCCATTGTCGGTTTGGAACCTTGCAAAAATCTTTACCCATCACAAAAATTCTCTGATTTTTCTATTCAATTTTCAGAAATCTCCAGAAGATGCCAAGGAGTCCTTAACACATTAGAATGGAAAGTGAGACTGTTGCAAAAGCTACAATCATCTATGTTTCAGCAAAATACTTAACCTCAAACCCTTGATACAACTTCATTAAACCAATCCATTCACAAATTTTGCGAGTTAGAATGATTGAAATCAGAATTCCTCTCGAGGGAGAAACTCTAGGCCAATTTATGATGGCGCACATCAAAATAAACTTCCTGAGAAAATAAGGACATAGGAAAAAGTAGCCTTGCATATGTGTTAGTATAGCCTATTCCCTTCTGAAAAGTTATGCTGAAAATAGGCTACGATAAAGAAGGATAATTAAAATTCATAAGTAATGCATATTAAATATTAATTACTTCGTACACAACTGTCCTTTAATTATCTTGACAATAAGAGGAAAATTCTTTGCATAATAAAGCAGAAGAATAACTCAAAATGATGATATATGTAAATAAACACAAACATGTTTCATTACTCTTATTACTTGAGCCAGAATTCTACCCTGGATTGGTTTTATAAAAACTACTGCCATCCTTATCTGATCCCTACACTCATGATCTTTTTTCCTAACTAAATACAGATTATAAAAGAGGACAGCGAACAAAAGGAAAAAATTCTGCTAACAATGTCTGTACTCTGATAAATTTATTTAAACTTAACAAGAATCTTAAACCCTCTCATGTTACTCACTTGCCAGCATCCTCACAGACACATGACCTTAGTGAACAATATCCAGCAGTAAAACTGGAAAACATCTCAAAGAAAGGCTCTTTATAGAAAACCTAATTGAATTTGTCATTTAGAGATGGAAAAAATAAGGCCCACATGATGCTAAGAGACACTTTCACAACACTTACTACTCAGTATTCCAATTTAGAAACTGAGGCAACAAAAATTCATTTTGCAAAAAGAGAGGTAAAATGGGCAACCAGGTTAAACAAAAAGATGAATGTTACATCCAGGAATGGTAATAGACTGTAAATAAAACTGCATCTCAACAAGTCATGTTAGTGCAATCTAAGTAAGGAGAAAGGATGTTTTGTTGCACCGGGTATAACAGGGTATGAAACAGGATATGTGTGTAGTTTCTTACTCAAGGTGGTTTAAATAAATTTGAAGGATTCAAGGTAAAAGTAAAGACAATGCAAACAAACCTACAGCATGTTACTTCTATAAACTGACATCTTTAGAGAAGTGATTCTCAACTTCCTCTGGAGAACCTTAAAATGAAGAATGTCAGGAACGACAAACACTATCCCATGTTATGAAACGAGAAGACTTTCACCAGTAATAAGGCTGGATTATATGAAGCAATTCTTTACCCCTAAAATCCACATTCCTTCTGCTTGTCAACTGTTGATGACCTATAATCTCCTAATGGTAGGTTTGAATATTGCCACTTGCTCAAATTTTCTCTGTGCTAAGCAATTGCTTACAACAGTGTGCTACAAGAAACACCTATGCAGAGACATCCTGAGAAGCCTCAAGAGCTTACCTTCGTCACTTGCTGCCTGTTGCTTCACAAGGGTCAGGGGGGATCTTGCTGGAGGCTTAGTAAGCGGATGGCGCCAACTCTTAGAGGTCTTGGTCTCTCCTTCTATTATCTACTTACACAACAAAAATGGGGAGAAACACATGTAATTAAAAACATGTTTTAAACAGAAAACTATAGTTCACAGTGATTTATGATAACTTAATTATAAGGAAATCTTGTGCTTTTTTTACTGCTTAGGCAATTAGCCCTTTAAGAAATTTAAACTTAAAGGCAAAAGAAATAGGAATCCACTCTATTAGTAATTTTACCAAGAGGTCAATTAACTCACCTTCCATCAAATCTGTACTAAGTGCAGCATTTCCCAAGTTTTCAAAAGTTCTTTATAAAACTAATCTAAATTTAGCCTTACACACTCTTAAAAATGTAGGTCAGCTCTCATGTGAACATCTGGCAGGTGTTTTTGCTTTCTGTCCTCACAGAGAAGGCAACCCTGTCCACTGAGGCTACACGCTTCTTTGCACTCAGACCTGAATCACCACTTCTATGTCACATACACAAGGGTCAAAAAAGACATCAAAAGCAGCCTTTTTTTTTTTTATGATACATTAATGCCATCTTGAAACCACTTAAATTTTATATAAAATCTTTCACCCTGGGCTCTGAAGACTATGTTTTCCTTTCAAAGGTAGAAAGTCATATGCACCTTTATGCTTTCTTGCCATTGCAATACAAAAAAGAAGGGTGGGGAGGGGGAATCAGAGAGGGAATGAAATGACTGGGTTTACATCAACACTTGAGTATGAAAGAAAGTGGCCCTAGTCTTCTTGCCTAGAAGCTGAAGAAGCAGTGGCCAGATGTGAAGAAACTGCTCTGGCCTTGGACTCCAAACCAGGATTCTGAAAAAGAGCATTCTAATCAAAGCTGGAGGTGGGAAGGGCATGAAAAAGTAATATAGTATAAGATTCATCTATGTTTATAATAGCTAAAAGTTAATTTGGGAAATTATAATTCAGTCAAGAACAAGAACTATTTATTAAGCCCCTACCAGGTGCCACAGTGTTCTAATGGATAGAGCTACAGCAGAAAAAAAATCACACCGGGTTCTCATTGTCAAGGAGGATGCATTACAGAGGGGTCTTGGGAAAGACAACATACAAGTACAAAGTGAATATTTATCAGGTACTATTCGGGAAATATGCAATGAAGAAATATAAAGCGGGATGAAGGAAAAGAAAGTGACTGGGAGCGGGCACTTTCACAGTGGATAGTCAGACAAGGCCTTTCTGACAAGGTGACATTTGAGTAGAACTGTCATGGCTATCTGGAGGAGGAGTATTCTGGGTAGCAGGAATAGCACATAAAGTGAGAACATATTTGGTATGTTCCAGAGAGAGCATGGAGCCCAAGATGGGTAAATGGATGGACGACTGGATGGATGACTGGGTGGAAGGAAAGAGAGACAGATAAACAGATTGATTGACTAATTGATTAATAGAGTTTAAAAAATAAACTAGCACTACTTGAGTAGTCTGATTAATGCCAGCTGCTACCAACATATACATAGCATTACACTTAATACAAAGAAACACTTATCAAAACTACACAAAAATTAAAGCCACTCGGTCCTCAGCAGCAGCGTTTGCTCTCTCTCTCCTATCAGTCTTTGCTGAGGGAATGATAAAGACAAAGGCACTGGCTCTATAATCATCCCCTCGAAAGCAAGGAAACTGACAAGTTTCTTTCAGTTCCATTCCAGTTTAAAGAACATAACTAAATATAATTAAAGCTGCATTTGATTCATTCACCACTCTACAAAGAATCCCCATACTTGTCCAGCTACATTTAATCCCTTCATGAAATTAAGCTGTAAATTCTACTTGCTAGCATATGAATGCTATTTTCAAACTTTTCTTAGGATGTTTTCAAATAAATTAGACCATATTTTTCATAGTTCTCGATGAGTATCTATTTTTATATTTCAGTGGAATATACAATCCTAATAATAAGAAACTGTATTTTATATGACATTTTATAACAGAAACACAATATTCAAAGTTGCTGTCCTTTTACAATCTCCCTTACTACTACTGAAGGATGCGAACAGGTCTTCAGTAAATTTAAACGAGCAGGACCGGTGTGTGTGTTCAGCAGCCAGCTCATCTTATCAGCTCAAACAATTATGCCTTCCTCATCCAGTAGAAGTCCTTATCGGGTTGTATAGGTCAAAAACGTTACTGAATTCTGACAACTGCTATTGCTACACACAGTCCTAGTTCACCCAATCTACTCCCAATCTAGTGGCTACCAGGACAGTTTACATTAAAAGCATACTATGTTAACACTGTACAAAGACATCAGAGAAATAGGGAACCCTATCCAAAAAGTCACAATGGGGAGCTTAGTAATATAGAGGGGTCCTGAATTTCCGAGAGGCACAAAGCTTATTTCTCGGAGTGGGCAGAACCAGAAATGTCACCCTGGTATTAGAATTCAGGGTCCATAAGGAGAGTCAGAGAAAAGTGTGACCAGGTGAGTCCTAATTTTAAAATAGAAGCTGTGAGCTCTGGGATTCAGAAATATTAACTGATGGCAGGAGGAGGTCAGAACCCAGCAGATGTATTCTTCCCAGGCTGGTTAATATTGCACGTGATAAAACTGTTCTGTATCTTGACAATATCAACGTCAATATGGTTGTGATTTCATACTACAGTTTTCCAAAATGGTAGTATTGGGGAGACTAGATAAAGCTTACATAGGCTACTATTTCCTAATTTGCATATAAATCCACAATTATCTCAAAAGGAAGAGTTTAATTTTATTTAATGGAAAAACAAAGAAAATTCAGTTTCAATATGTGACCAAAAGCTCTATACTCTGAATTATCACTATGTGAGCCAGAGCTTATAGAAGGCTTACCTCCTAGTCACTGAAGGAAATATGATTAAGAGCCATAAATGTGAAATGTCATTTGTTGCCTAAAGCAAGATTTCAGTACACAGCATGTTGTTTTTGGAAAGTGCTCTCACCATACAATGAATACGGTAGAAGTCGATAGTACTACTTACACTGGGAACTTTGAAGCCATTTCTCTCTCCACTGGGGACCGCTGGGATTTCCCCAGATTCAATGCCATTCATGCGGCTCTCCAGATCACTCTCTTCTCCCTCGGTTAACACACCATTACTCTCTGCCACTGAGGAGCACAACTCAGGTGACTTCGGCCATGAAAGCTTGGGTGGGTCTGACTCCTCAGACCTCACATGGCCACTGGATAACACTATGTAATCACTATGCTCTTTGGGTTTAGAAGGTGCAGTTATGTCACAGGCTTTGTCATTTTCAGCTTTTACTTCCTCCATTACAGATGTACATAAGCAGCTGTTTCCTGGGAAGTAAAAGAAAAGACTGTTAATAAATCTTGCATTGCGGGGCCGGCCCGGTGGCGCACTGCTACAGTGCACCGCTTGGGAAGCGCGGCGGCGCTCCCGCCGAGGGTTCGGATCCCACATACAGACCGGCCGCTCACTGGCTGAGCGAGGAGCGGGGGCAACACCGAGGGTTGCGATCCCGTGGCCGGTCCCAGTCCGGTACGGGCGCGACACTGAGGGTTGCGATCCGTTGCCGGTCACGAAAAAAGACAAAAAAAATAAATTAATTAAAAAAATAATAATAATAAATCTTGAATTGTATTACTACTGAGTAGAACTGTTAAACTATTCCCATCAGATTCTGTATTTTCCAGGTTCCCCAGAGCTTCATGCTGCCTTTGTAGTTGTTTAAGGTGAGAACTTGGACTTTGGCAAAAGAAATACCTACTGACAAGGGATTAAAAAGAGTGTTCAGGGCCGGCCCGGTGGCGCACTCGGTAGAGTGCGGCACTTGGGAGTGCGGCGGCGCTCCCGCCGAGGGTTCGGATCCCATATAGAGACCGGTCCGCTCACTGGTTGAGCGCGGTGCGGGCGCGACACCAAGGGTTGCGATTCCATTGCCAGTAACGGTACGGGCGCGACACTAAGGGTTGTGATCCCATTACCGGTCACGAAAAAGGAAAAAAAAAAAAAAGAGTGTTCTACTGCAGACCAACATCAAAAGGCAGGGCAATTATTAAAATTATCCAAACTAATAACAATTTGAAATCTATCTAAAAATAAGAATTATATCCCAATATAAGATGCTGAGAGCAGCTGCTGATAAAACATTTCAGCTCAGAGGATATATGTAAGTGACACATGTAAGGGCATACAGATCCGATAAAAATGATGGTCTGCACTAATCCTGTATCAGACACTGACAGCATGAACCAGGAGAAAAATATTATAAAGCACTTCTCCTCCCGCCATCTCACTTTTGTCACATACGTGTATACACACACACACACACACACACACACACACACACACACACACACACACACAAAACAAGCATCATTTGTACCAATAACGTATGAGCTCTGATGCTGAACCCAGACAAATCTTCCACTGAGTATTCTGCCAGGTCTCAAAACCTGGATATCAAAATGCAAAGAATCATGTATCAAAACAACTATTGAAATTGGGTGCCCTAGAGTGGTTAATTAAGTCCAGTGTGGTAGACTCCATGATGGGGGAGCACTGCATAACTGCTCCTCTGCACTTGCTGCAATTCTGTTCACTACCTTCACGATCTTGCTATCTTATGCCCATTCATCACAACTCAGTTCAGATATCACCTACGCCAAGAAACCTTGCCTGTCCAGGTCCTGTTTTGGGTCCTTCCTTGGTACACCAGCAACACCCTATGCATTCCCTATCATGCTCCTTATTATGCTAGATTGTAATTGTGTTTATCTGTGTAGCTCTCCATTAAAGTATGAACTCACAGGGAAAAAACTCTATGGTTTAAACTCTATTCACACAGATATTTCAAGAGCAAAGGTAATGAGGCTTTAGCAGCAGCTGAAAACCAGTTTATTTATGACTATATAAGGACTTTTTCCTTTATTCAAAGTGGAACTAAGAAGAATGGAGGAACAAGACAAATTTTTTTGGCTTTTTTTAAGGATCACAGTGACTGCAACATAGGGAACTGACTAGCAGGAGTGAATAGCGTGGACATTAGCAAAACAGGAAGGAGGCAATTTCAGCACTAGTCTAGGCAAGAAACATGGTGCCTTAAGTAAGGAGGAAGCAGTGGAAGAAGTAGGATTCTGGAGAGTCCAACGACTGAAGGATTTATGGGATGAGGGGTATGAGAGGAAGACAGGAATTACCAACTACCTCGATTATTAAAGGGATAAAACCTCCAACAAATATTAAAGAGGCAAAGCACTAAAGCAGTTTCAGAGAAATATGCTATAAAAAGGAAAAAAAGCAAAGTACCTTAGAATGGTAGTTAATAGCTTAATACAGAGGAGCAGCCAGCAGAGTATACAAACCATTTCACTATACTGACATTTTATGTTTGTTGTTCTTTTAAAAACCCTAATCTTTATTTTCTTCTTAAAATTAAGTAGAAAGCTAAGAATCTGCAAAGAATGATCTATAGTTGGTTTTCTCTATTCCATATAAATTCAAGAGAAGCTTTCCAAAAATGTATTGTATTTTATAAACTGAGTTGCACTTAAAAAATTTTCTTTTTGGAATCTCCTTTTTTATTGAACCACATGAGCACTGGTGGCTGTTTGTCTCTCAATTCCATTATATGTAGCAGTGATGCTGCTGACTTTTATAACATTCCCTTAGCCTCCTGGTTGAGTTACCCTATAACTGTAGATAGCTTTTTGGTTAAGCTATGTGGACTAGTAAGATATCTGTCCTAGTGAACACAGATGTACTGTATCAGATCATCAACCTCCTGCTACTCATATGTGGAACATAATCAGCCATCTTCTCACCTGAGAGTTTGATATTATCCAATAAACTCGGATACTCCTGTGTCTTGCTAGCAGAAACCTCTTCTTCTGAAGGCGCTCCTGTGATCCCCAGCTTCTCTGCTTCTTCTGGCTTTTCACTGACCTTGAGGTCATCTGTGCCTGGACAAGGGATAGAGACATCTGCCCCATTGACTTCGGCTGATACTTCCTCATCTTCTTCAGTCTTAGGCCTTTTAGAGTGAGACCGAGTACACTGGAAGCTATCAAGAAGAGAAACGGTGGTCAGAGCAGAACGTTTGTAATGGATAGAAAACACGTATCAATACAAATGTTATTTTCATTTGCTTAAAAAATAAAAAACCCTGACAGTTTTTATCACTATGCAAAGACAATCTTTACAATCAATAAATTAAATTTGAAATTGAAATCTTGACAGTTTTAATATCAATTTACAAAAAAATAAAAATTCAAACTGTAAATAATTGCTTAAACACTATTGCGAAAAAGGTTGTTACTAAAATCATATAGCAACATTTATAAAAATAAAGTGAAAAATGATGACATGGGGAATAAAATCAATAACTAAAATATTATTTAAGTAATCAATAAAGAAAGAGATAATCAGGAGATCCTACAAAGATGTGAAAATCTGAGTAAATTATTTACATTTTGAGGTGAACTAGTGCTACTTTTCCCTGAATTTTGTACGATTCTCAGGCATGCATGAAAATCATTCAGATTAAATGCCAAATCATCAATAGCTAAAAGAATTAAGACAGAAAAAAGGCTGACTGTATGCATTTAATATCTTATGACAACTTATTATTTTCAGAGTGGACACTATTTTTATTTTTATCCTCTTTTAGTATTTTCCAGCAAGTCACTTCATAGCTTTATCATCCTTGCCTTTTATATATGACACAACATTCCTAACAGAAACAATTACAAATTAACCCAAAGCAACAGTGTCCAAAACACATACAGACATACAACCCATAGGTAATACACACAAACAAGAGAACACCACAAGACGAAGCACTGCAGGAAGTCCAGAAGGTTACAGACATGAGAGAAAGGGGATAGCCAGGGATAACATATATAAATTAGCTTTAGCCACTACTGATGGTAGGGACAATAGCAGTTACCATCATCACCATCACCTCGTTTACTGAAAATACTGCAGTGGCCAATGTGGAAAATCTCCACATTATACACAGCATAGTACATGTAAAATAAGATGGCAGACATCCTTGAGATTTCAGTGAAACATTCCATTCAATAGACTTCCCTAGATAGGGCATTACTGAAGGCAGATCAGCAATCTCTCTCATCGTCACAAGTCTGAACATATTAAATAAACTCCTTAACATTAGGCTTTCTAACTAGGTGAACAAACTCCATTGATTATTTTAACCTACTGACAGGCATTTCTAATCTGTTCAATGTCATAGGTCTATGTTGTCTGTCAACGCAAAAACCCCACTCTGGTTAAAAACCAGGAGACCAGATCATACACACAGTTAGAGTATTCTGTTTCCTGTCCATTAAAGAACAATCCTCATGATGTTCTACTGGTATGTCTTCTGAACTCAAGATTGAATACTGCCTTCAAAAACTGGCTTTTTTGGTAACGTGAACTAACATATTTATCAAAGGCACTGACTCTCTAAGTTATTATTTCTCAAACTTTTGAATGCAAGCCATACATTTTAGATAGTAACACAATGCACACATACACATGCTCACACAAGTCATGAATTAATACTTACCCTTGCCACATGGGAAGCAGTACAACACTTTGTATTCTACTTTACTTCCTAATTTTAAAATACTGGGTCTGAAATACTAAATTTATTTCAAAACTAACAGAAAATCATTGCTGTAAACTATAGGGTAAAATATCAACACCTGAGTTTTAGATCTGCTATGAACTAGTTCTGTGCCTCAGGTACATCTCCATGTTAAGGTTCCTCCGCTCACTACCATTCTAAAATAGCAGAAAGTAAATGTCAGGGAGAAAAGAGAGTCAGAAAATAAGTGTGAGCAAAGGTTTAAAATTACAGTATTATTTAGTTAATAGCCAAAAAGTAGAAACAAGCTACAGGTCAAAATATAGGGAATTAGTGAAACATATGCAGGCACTAAAAATTACATTGTGCAAATCACTTAATTACATGTAAAAACACACTCACATAAGTGGTCATCAAATTGTTAATAGAGCGTGGCCCCAATTTTGGAAAGGTATATAATACTATATAATAAAAAATAAATATATATATAAAGGATATATACAAAATGTTAACACAGGTTATCTCTGGATAGTAAGGTTATGGGTGATTTGGAATTCCTTCATTATTCTTTTCCTTATTTTACAAATTTTCTCCAATGCACAAATATTACTTTTACAATCTGAAAGAAAAATGAGTAAAATTGAAGAGAAAAATGTAATATAAAACTGGAAAATATAAAGCCTAAAAAGGTAGTCTATGGACCTGAGCAACACACCACACACCCTGTTCAATGGGCTTTAGAACTGCAAGATGCCCACAGCAGACCTAGAAGTTTTTGAAATGGCTCTGGCCACAAAAATGGAATGGAGAACAACATTCACGAGGACAACCATATTATAAAAACACCACACTTGTTTACATCTTGTAAAAGAATAAAACCAACTATATATAAAAAGTAGTAAAATATGAGAATCCAAGTGAGAAAAGTAAAATCTCAGATAGGAAGAACAAAACAACAGAAGTCAGAAAGAAAACTGGTAGCAAACGAAAAAGTTAGAAATCAAGTATTGAAGCTGATAAAAATATGAAGATGAACGGAGAGGACTAATACAACTTTAAAATACACTAGTGCAAGGGGTCAACTTAGAATTTCTAGTATTTTCCTATTTGCCATATACAGCTACTTCAAGAATATTCCCCAAAATGATACATACCTCTTCCTACATTCTGTCTATTACACTTCCCAAGAATTAAAAATACTTTGCCTCAAATTTTCAGTAAGATATTAAGTAAACATATGATGAATAAATAGAAAAATAAATAAATAGCCCTCAAGAAGATCATGTTCAATAACCCATTTTAGTTAAGAAAATGCTACAAGCAGGTTGCAGTGGGGGGATCATTACCTCCTCGATGCTTTTCTTACTTTCCTCCTCCTCTGCAGCCATGCTTTTACTTCAGGTGTGGATTCTGGAGTAGGCTTTGTATGATCAATGGTGTATATATCCTTTCCTTGCTTCCAAAGCTGGTATCTGTCTGGCTGGAATTTCCTAACGAAGATATCCATTGAAATTTTCACCATGTCTTTCCTGCAAGTACACTGAAACACAATGGGCGTGGAGTGCATTAAACATTTCGCTAGCTCCATAAAGTCACATGGAGTCAGCCCTTGAATGTGCTAACGTAAATATTCAGTCAACACATAATTGAGAATAATGTTTTGCTTTTTCAAATATTCAGTGAGTGATAAACCCAATTTCTTCTGAGCAGAGGTGCAAACCTATATATTCACATTTATAAATAGGAAAACAAGATGTGAAAATGCTATGTAGACTTCATAAGAAACTGTGTACCAAGCAAAACTAAAAGGAAAGAGTACACATTTGAAAACCTGCCTGCAACAGAAGGATCCCCCTCCCATCACAAGGATGTGTCAGGGAGCTAGAAACCTGGGTTTTCAATGAAGAAAAACTTCCCAATGAATGTGATTTGAGTAATTTAACCAATGAACTGACATAAACTTTCTGTAAGATACACTTTAATTATATTTTTGTTTATTAACAAACAAACTCTCTGAAGGTAACCAAAAATTAGAATAAATCAACAGTCTCATCTGCATTACATCACATATAACACCCAACTACAACAACAAGAACATATCCACTAGGGAGAAGGCACAGAGTTAAGATGAAAAGCTCAAAGAAAAGATGATCTTGAATTCCCTATGTCCTTGATCCTCATGACTATGTAGTTATCAGTCACATCTTATAAAACAAGTTTCTTATAAAAACTTAACAGGGTTTAATTAGGTCCAGGCCAACACTCTATTTGTCAGGGCAAATATTCAAATGGTGGTACATAAATAGTATCAAAGATTTAACTAATATACAGTGACAATCTCTAACACACCTGGCAACAGACTGGTTGACCGAACAATAGCCATGAAACAATAATACTCTCATTATCTTGGTGATATAATTACCACCTCTGTGGGGGTAAATTTCAAGGTCTTAATCTCCACCCCGCAAACATCCCTCCATAGAGATCTAATCATAATGCACGTAAAACTAACTCCTTCAACCTCAAATATGCTATCCCATTCAATGATAGCACTATTTTTCCATCCTCCTATATTTGCGGTGAACATTTCCTAGTCCCTCCCTATTCCTCCGCCTATAGAAATGCAGTCTGTCACCATCTACAATTAATTCTTCCTCTTAAATGTCTCCTATATCACTTCCTTCTACTAGTATCCTTCTAGCCTCACTGTCAGACCTGGAATCCTAACTAATCCTAACCAATTTCCCTGGCTGCAGTCTCTCCTACCATCAATCCATCTTTACAGCTGTTATATTATCTTTCTCAAATATCTGGTTTCTTTCACTTCTGTGTTCAATAAAGGTGTAATTGCCATGGTCTGCCTATAGAATAGTCTTAACTTGTGGGCCTGGCACTTAAGGCCTCCAAAATTTGGCTCCTCCTGTGAGATTTTCATGTTTCTCTCCCACATCGAGTCAACATGAATATTCCTCTTCATCCCAAGTCACCGGAGTCCAAATGCACCACACGCTCCTTATCTCAGTACTTTCACTGCTTCCACAAGGGCTTCCTGCTCACCAGTCTGCTACCCACAGAAATTCCTTACCACTGAATGCAAATCGCACCGTACAACTGTTCCTCGGAAACCAATACTATTTATCCACACTGCTGCTCTCTATTATTAATGTATAGTGAGAGTTCTAACTAAGTTATCTTGCTATAATTATCTTGACTTAGGAATATAAAAAGTGAGGATCCTGAGAAATTTTTAAATATTTTGGTTTAAGATGCAATCTTTTGAATAAAGAAAAAAATTAAAACTTGGATTCATCAGCGGAAACATTATTTTATTACAGTGTTTCTAATTTTTGCTTCATGAAGAAAAATGCAATAGTGGATAATAGTGATGCTCCCACCCTTAATAAGCTAATTTAGGCCTAAGCCCAGTTATAATTGTAACAGCCCTAGGAGAGTTGGCCCAATGACGATCAGAACAATATTTCTGAGAAAATGTCTTGGGAAAAAAAAACTTTAACTTAACATTCATCTCTTTTGCTGAGACGGTGCTACGAAACATAATTCATGTACATTTGGCTTCCACATTTTGAGTGAGCCACAGAATTCAACAGGAACCAACAGTAGGCAAGCCATGGTCAAACAGGAGTGTGCTTGGAAACTGACCCAGTGGTGTGGCTGGACAAATTTTTGCTAAATATATTAGCCATGTAACTCAAGGATCTAACCAACCATCTCAGCAGATGCCAGGAACAGAGATGTGGTTATCCAAGAAAGGTCTATGTAGGACCCTACTGTCTGGCACAGATGCCCATGAATTGGACAGAAGGCTGATAATGATTTTGAAAATTTTATGCCAGCAGAAATGGTCTGCAGGGGCCGGCCCGGTGGCGCACTGCTACAGTGCGCCGCTTGTGAAGCGCGGCGGTGCTCCCGCCAAGGGTTCAGATCCCACGTGCAGACCGGCAGCTCACTGGCTGAGCAGGAGCGGGGGCAACACCAAGGGTTGCGATCCCGTTGCCAGTCCCGGTCCGGTACGGGCGCGACACTGAGGGTTGCGATCCGTTGCCGGTCACGAAAAAAGACAAAAGGACAAAAAAAAAAAAAAAAAGAAATGGTCTGCAGAACTCACAAAACCCTTACTTTGTCAAGGTGCACAATACACGTGAAAACTCCTAGGGGAACCAGATAGATACCCAGAGAAAATGTCTCAAATTCTGGGATTTGTTCTAATAGACTTGAAGAAAGGTGTAGCTTTAAATTTTTCCTTCAGAACAGAAAGATATCTCATACAGTCATAGTAAAAATGTATGCCAGAACTGAATTTCTTATTATAATTTTAATGAATAATTACTGTAAGTAGTTCAGATACTTTGCCATGTCTGACTTTCCTGTATCACTCTATAAACCATGAAAGTACACACTGTGACTGTCTTATAGAGATGTGTATTCTAGGTGCCCTTCAAAATATTAATTAAATTAAAAACCTTCTTTTAAAATGTATGAGGAAACAGAGGCTCAGAGAATCCACATTAATTTGTCCAAGGTGTCAATCCTAGGAAGTAATACAGCCTTTGCCAGATTGAAATCTAGAATTCCAATAGTTTTATACACTCTGCTATGGAAATTCCAAAACCAAACCATGTTCAACATATTTAAAAGCTTTCGGGGCTGGCCAGTTAGCTCAGTTGGTTACAGCAAAGCCTTACAACACCAAGTCAAGGGTTTGGATCCCTGTACCGGCCAGCTGCCAAAAAAATAAATTAAAATTTTTAGAAATTTTTTAATATTTTTAAACTTAAATGCAAGCCATATTTTTCCATCTCAAACTTCTTTATCTATGACCCGTAATCAAATTGAAATTATAGCTGAGAAGAAATGTCTGGGGCTCATTATTTTTGCTTTCTATGCACGTTATCATGCTGTCTTGATTGAGTGTATCCAGTCTAACAATTTTCCAAAATAAGTTTTTCCCCCTCCTCTACTTCTAATAGGTTCAGATTAATTTCTTCTGACTATTTGCAGGCTTCACTAAATGTCAGGATATGTCTCTCTTATAAAGTAAGGCAATTATAAAGCAATTTAAGGTAAGGGACTAGAAACTCAATCTTTCTGACCCATGAGAACACTATTCAAACAGACAAAGAAAAAGTATGCCAAAAGATGGGGAATGGACTCCAATAGTTTGCTCCAGGGGTCTCCAAAAAATTCAGTAGAAATCATTTTTAGAATTTCTGCTTCTCGTCACTTACCTGAATAGCTGATACAAATGTTGTGGAAGTTCAGAGTTACAGATATTAAACAATCCACTCCTGCTGTGCCAGGTAAAACACAGCATGAAATTGTACTCTTTAGTATTCAGAAGTGGATGAAGTTATTTTGTTATAAATTCATGCACTCCATGTCACACTTTAAATGTATGATAAATGTGGGCAAGATCAGATAAAAAGAAGGCTCTGCACACTTTTTTTTTTTTTTAAAAAGATGACCGGTAAGGGGATCTTAACCCTTGACGTGGTGTTGTCAGCACCACGCTCACCCAGTGAGCTAACCGGCCATCCCTATATGGGATCCGAACCCATGGCCTTGGTGTTATCAGCACCACACTTTCTGGAGTGAGCCACGGGCCAGCCCCTCTGCACACTCTTAAGGATCTAAAGTTTTATGAATATAAATATTTTTCCATAAGAGTCTATAAGATCATGTACTAGAGCAGATAGAAATGGAATGGACATATACAACATGCAATCCTTCTCCTAAACGTTTTTATTAAGATGTTCAGATATACTGACTTCCATACTGGAGATTCTTTCAAATATTCCTTTTTAAGTGAATAAGTGGACACAATGAAACCCAAAATAAACCTTAGGAAGTAAATCATCCACTTGAATTGTCATAATTCATGTATGAAAAGCTGAGGCACCAAAACAGTAAGTGATTGCTGAATGTCAAAAGGATAGTAACTGGGGGGAAAAAATGTTTAAGTGATATGAGATTCAGTATCCTACCCACCAACCCCTCTGAAATTTTAATTCCCCATTCACTGAGCCACCACTGTAAACACAGGAACATAATCCCTAATCTAAGGTGTGAACTAGAACCTACTTTCCAACAGGTTTCACAATAGAACACTGGTTGCATTAAGTACCATTTGATTGATGTGGGAGACATTCACATTTTTCCACTTCTGCTGAATCTGAGATGAAGGCAGCATCCCCTGCCCTTTCTCACCTTTTTTTCACAGGTCAAACACTAGAGTAAATGTAGGAAAAAATTTAAAATATTTTTAAGGGATATGGGGCTGTAATAACAAAGGAAAAAAATTAATAAAATAGCAATGCATGCATAATACAATTCCCAGAATAGAAGTTCTAGGTGGTATATAGGATTCGAATTAGGATTAGATGAGGGTTACGGTTAGGGTGCTATTGCTTGGGAAAAACAAAAATAACTTAGCAGCTTTCAAATAAATTCTAGGTTACCATATTTTTAAATCCTGTATGTCATAAATTTCTGACATGAATCCCTGGAAAAATGAAACCTTGA